AATAGATTGGATACCTGATACCGTTGCACTTTTGAGAAAAATAATTTACCGCCAGCATACTAACACGAATATTTAATCCGCTGTCTGAAAGACGTTTTTAAAAATACACAATATTTTGTTTGCTTCAAGTGATCAGGATAATTTTTAGTTTAGGTTTATGCCTAGGCAGGCAATAATAAAATATGTAAGTTTCAAGCAGTTAGAATAAAAGCGCGAGATGAACTGTGAGATATAAAAAAGCTCAAATATCACTTGCGTAATTAACGTTTTAACTTGTTTTCGAACACGTCCGAAAATAATTGCGAAAAAAATTTTTAAAACTGACTACAATTTCCAAGTCAACGTTTTTTGTTCATTTTATGAATGACTTCTTCCACACAGAAAGTTTGAAGGAAATCTGTAATCTTAAGAAATTCGAGTGGTCGGTTTTTACACGGACTGCCTCTTAATGTTTAATCAATGCTTGTAAATCGCATAAAGATTTGTCCTGATTTACATAAACTTCAGCTTTGATTTTCTCGGCTTAGACAATGTTTATTTTTCTGAAAATTACTTTGCCAGTGAACTCATAAGACATAAGATTGGTTCATTTTATAAGCATGATTTTTGGCTTGAGTTTGTATGTCAGATAAAGATCGACCGCTCATGTTTTATCTAGTACTTAAAACATGAGTTTATCTATGCCATGCATATTACCTAAAATTAGTCAAAATTCCATTGATTTTGTCCTCATTCACAGTGAATATTAAAATGGTACGTGGTGCTAATGTACTAGTAGTGCTGGATCGTACTTGTCCACCATTTGCTTGTCTCCCAACAATGGACAGGAAAAATTTTCCTGTGGTCATTTTCCCTGTGTCATTCTTACCGACTGTAAATAGTGTGGGGCACTGTCCAAAAACATTTTGGAGACATTCATAATGCATACCCATAACACCAGCAGCAATAAATGCAAAACTAGCTACAAAACTTTCTCCTACAAATGAAAAGACATGATTGCATACATCATAAAACTTATACACAAAATCTTATATATAATAATAATAATTTTAATATTCATATAGCGCAAAATAACATTGATATATGATCTAATGCGCTTTACAAATTTCCAAGAATATCACAAATGTTTCTATACTGTACATTATAATGTATAAATATGGAATACACTAAAATATTAAAAATGTAAATAATAAAAATGTAAACAAGAATAAGACAATCGTTCAATTTAATAATTAGTGTATGCTTCTCTAAACAAATGAGTTTTAAGCCGTTTCTTAAAAGAATTGATGTTATTTTCCCTTGTGATATCAGATGGAAGTTCATTCGATAAGGTTGGTGCTGCCATAACAAAAGTTCTATCTCCAATTGTCTTCTTTGAGTTGAATGTTGGTGGAGCTACAATCCTGGACAAAACATCTGCAACACTTCGAATTACTTGTCAAAATGTTGTAATATTATCGTAAATTTAGAAAACCTCCCCCTTTCCCCCCACCATTCAATGTTGATTGCATTCGTAGAATACGGATAAAATGTCCAACATTGTTTTTGGGGGCGGAGGGGGGCAAACGAGTAAATTATTCCGGTCTAAAAGGTAAAAAAAAGCCACAAAGGAATATTTTAATAGAGTGTCGCAGATGGTTTTGTTCAGGATTGTCTGTATCTTTCAAATTCAATAACCAAGGCATAGCGCATTAAAAATCGAGTTTGTTGCAGGATTTTCTCTTTCCATAGTAAATATGGTTCACTAGAATGTATTAGGCTTCAAGAAGCAGGTACCACATGGTTGACAAGGTAATATAACACCCACATGCAACGCTATGCTTCCATAGCTTGTATAGAATGCGATTAAGAATCATATGCGACGACTTTCGCGCATTTAATATACGCCGGAGAGCAAGTCAATGTACTTAGTAGTGTATATACCAACTATTTTGCACTAAGAATATTCTAAAATACGTTAATTCATATTTATTTGTGTTGTTAGACAGACAAACGCTTAGTTGTTGACTGGAAATATATTGCGTGACCTCCGTGCTAAATGACTAATCCGATTTTGTTATTGTCGTATAATAGCGCATGCGCATTGACGGTGTACCATGGTACAGCGTGAACATATAAGAATATATATATATAACCTTTTGTAGAGTTAAAATGGTACACCGTGGAATATTTTAAAATTATCGCGCTAAATATTGCCAGAAGTAGGTTGGAATACTAAGCAACACACGTTCTTTCAAGTCCATTTCATTGCTTGTATTACCCCTATAACTGGCAATATTATCACAGTCTTAGTGCATTGGACGTCGTACACATCGTTAAGTGTGACACTGAAAAATTGAGCATTGATTTACCACACCTGGAAAACTCGTTTCAAAATGCATAATTCACATTTATACAGCTGTCACTTAATATTCTAAGTATATGCAGTAAATACCAGAAACGTAACTATATTGAATTTATTGTCCCTTTGTGTTCTACTGGATATCACACACATTCGTTTATGTGTAGACTGAATGTATAACATATAGATAAGTAGGTCGTAAGCAATGCACATAAACAAAATACATGGCAAGGACATGTTTAAAGATAAAATATAATTTCGATATAAGAATATAATTTCAACTCATTACAGACAATCCTGGACAAAACATCTGCGACACTTCGAATTACTTGTCAAAATGTCGTAATATTATCGTAAATTTAGAAAACCTCCCGCTTTCCCCCCACCATTCAATGTTGATTGCATTCGTAGAATACGGATAAAACGTCCAACATTGTTTTGGGGGCGGAGGGGGGCAAACGAGTAAATTATTCCGATCTAAAAGGTAAAAAAAAGCCACAAAGGAATGTTTTAATAGAGTGTCGCATATGGTTTTGTCCAGGATTGTAGTAGGAAACAAGTCTGATCTAAGGTTGTGGGCGGACAAGTTGTTCAAATTAATAAGATCCTTAATATAGTCTGCTGCCAAGTCATGCATAGCCTTAAATGTTATTTTAAATTTAATTCTATGGGCAGCCAGTGGAGGCAATACAGAATAGGCGTGATATGACATTAGCGTGGAGAATTAGTAATAAGTCTAGTGGCCATGTTCTGTACTCTCTGCAATTTCTTGGTCTGAGTTTTTGGAAGACCATAGAACAAAGAATTGCAATAATCAATCCATCCAATCACCAGAGCATGCACCAAGATTTGAGTAGTATGATGTGTTAAATATTTCCTTATTCTTCTGATGTTATGAAGAAAATAATAAGCAGTGCTGCACGTTTTAGTAATATGTACATCAAACTTGAGATGAGAAACCAACCATTCTCCAAGGTCTTTTACATTGCTAACAGGAATAACACTCAAATTGCCAACCAATAACTGGTCAATTGTGACTCTCTTCAGCAAGTTCATTGTGAGTCCCAATAATCATGAATTCTGTTTTTCCTTCGTTCAGCTTCAATTTATCGGTTATCATCCACACTCTTACGGCTTTGATACATTTCTCTATAGCTTCCATCGCATCTTCTTGACATTGTGTTGTTTCAGATTTAAACGCTAGGTAAAGCTTGGTATCATCGGCATACACATGAGCATGTTGTAGGTGATGTTTTACCACTTTAAAGAGTTTGCTAGCATAAACGGTGTACAATGTACTGATGTACTTTCGTCAATAATGACACATATACAGTGGCCAGATAGATATATTTTAACCACGGTAAAGCAGTGTCTGTTATTCCAAAACTTGTTTGTATACGATTAATCAAAATATCATGGTCAACAGTATCAAACACGGAGCTCAAATCCAGAAATACTAATAATGTTACCTGTTGATTGTTCATGTTAATGTGAATATCATTTATAACTTTAAGGGGCGCTGTTTCTGTGCAATGGTGTTTCCTTGTAAGCAGATTGTAGTGGGGGAAACACATTATTAGCCAAAATATAGTTACAGATTTGATCAGATGCTGCTCTCTCGGTGATTTTGGAAACAAATTTCACATTACTTATAGGTCTCAAGTTCTTGTATTCCATATCTTCACATCCTTTCTTGAACAGTGGACTGACAAGAACTTCTTTCCATGCATTTGGGAAATGACCTGTTGTTCATGACACATTAACTATTTTGGAGAAAAATGGGAGCAAATATATACTGTATAAACAACGTGCTACTCTTTAGGCATGCATATTATTATCAAGCCTATATATCTCACTGGCAACGTCTAAACTTGCTCTGACAGGAATCAAACCGCATAATACTCCTGATTATAAACTATTTCATGAATTAATATTGAATATATACCAACCTGGCATTGATGTTTTTAGATGCTTTAAAGTCATTGACAAACTTTTCTCCAAAGTGGTAGACATATTCTTGATTGGAGTTTTTCCAAAGTTTTGTCAGATGTGAAGTTGCCCAACCATTTATACTGACCATGCTTGATGTCGATCAAATTTCCTGATCTGTGAATCTGGCAATTTTCGTTAAAAACCCATATGTCACCATCTTGCCTGTCATGATGATTAATCTTTAGGTTCTCAGAAGCATCAGGGTTGTTCTTCTGATACTCATTGACCAGACTCATTATGCATCTATGCTGTGCTGAGTGGTTATATTACTACCTTAATAATATAATAATAATATATCTATGCTGCGCTGAGTGGTTATATTACTACCTTATTTTTTAAGGTAGTAATATAACCACTCAGCACAGCACTTTTACATTGGTACTACCTACACTGGTACAGACAGTTTTAGTCATTATGTATCTGTTGAGATCCTGATCTGTTAACTGGCAGAACAAGCCGCTTCGTTTCTTCCCTGCTTTTAATGATTTCAGGAACCTTGTTGTCTTTGTGCAGTCCTCCACTGTAAAAAAGTGAATATTTAAATAAAATTCGATTGAAAAGTATTGATTATTTTATATTACAAATTTCCTTGTAATGTAGGAAAAAGATGTCTTTATGTTTCTGTGTTCATGTAAAAATTACTACAAATCTCTTACTGATAAGTGCCGAGGTATTGTAGAAGTGGTTTTGGGGAACGAGGGGTTATAAATGATATAGTTTAAGAAAATTGTTAATGCAGTGATTATTATAGAAGGAAGGTTTTTAAATGGACGTTTTTATACCACTGGTCCTTAGTACAGATCTGTGTTTTATTCTGTGTGAACCCAATTTAGTAATAATTTGGTTCCGATAGGAAATGTTGGGAAAATTTTGTTTTAGGAAAAGGAAAAATTAGTAATTATTTTGTTTGGTATTCTTGGAAATCTTTTCTTCTTATTTATGTTAGTTTATTGAGGGGTTTGTTTTTAAGCTGAGGGGTTTGTTTTAAAGGTGACATGCACAGACTGACAGACACAATTTTTCAACATTGTTTTTTATTCAAAGTTTCGAAGAACTTAATGATATATCCAGAATTATATAGATCAGAATTATATAGTATTGTGCATGCGCATAGTTGTCAACTTAATTAGGCCTTCGGTATGCATGAATGACTTCTATGTATAAATTGTTGTTAGTTAAAAATACAAGCTTCTATAAACACAATCTGTGTGTATGCTATGTTTTGAGGTCGTAACATTGGCAACAAAGATGAAAAAGTCAAGCCAAATGGTAAAGCAAGTGAACTTTCATATTGTATAGCAAAATCGTTGGGTAAAACAGCAGATAAAACGACAAACAAGTACCATGTCTGTCGAAGAAAGGGGAAGCAATAGCAAATGCTGAGCAAGCGACCATACGAGTAATTACCGAAACTAGAAACTTAGGAACTAAGCCATTTACACCAGAAGACGACCAGATCACAACAGGCAAAGCATGGGACAACTGGTTAGAGGGAATCGAGCGAGAATTTTCGATATTTCAAAATCACCGACCCGACAGACAAGAAAGATGCCTTAATTATTTATGGTAGCAAAGAAATAGCTAGACTGGAGGAAAAGCCTACCAAATCCTGCAACACAACTAGATGAATACGAGAAATTAAAAATGAAACTGAACAGTTATTTCTCACCATAAAAGAATAAACATCATGCCAGATATTTATTTTTAAAGCTTCGACTGAACCACAGAGAAACAATAGCAGCATACGCAAGTCAACTGTGAGAAAAAGCCAACGACTGCGAATTCGAAGGCAACATGGACAAACAAATATTGGAACATTTGATCCAGACATGTCAAAATCGAGCGTTGATTCAAAAAGCCATCAATAAGAAGTGGAATCTGTCACAATTTTTGGCTGAAGCTGTTCAGATGGAAGACACATCGCTGCAGATACAAGATATGAAATCCACCGAAGAAGTGAAATTTGTCAACTGGGATCGCCAACAAAAGAAAACCACCATTTTCCACGAAACCCATACAGCGTCAGCAGCAACCATGTAACTACTGTGGACACATCGGGAGTCCATCATGTGGGAAAAGATTGTCGAGCTTTTGGAAAGAAATGCAAGAAATGCCAAAAATATAACCACTTTGCAGCCGTTTGTCGATCAAGTAAATCTGATACATGAAAAGGCAATGGGAAAAGACAAGATCGACAACAAGAACACCGGCAACAAAAATCTCTAGGAAGCTATACTAAACGGAAGTGGCAAAAGTTAAGAAAACATCTGCAGAACCGACGGACAGCTCGACAAGTTCGGATTATGAATTTTTCGGTCACGTTGTGAGATATTTGAAACAAATCAAGTCCAGAGTGATAATCATACTAGAATGGTCACAATAAAGATAGAAGATATTGATGTTAAAGTGGAACCAGACAGTGGCACAGAATAGATGAACATCAATTTAATGCTCTAGAGAACAGGTGCCAACTCAAACTAACACTAGAACCCAGTCGAATGAAATTATCTAGCCTACAAAGCAAGCTCACAATGAAAGGCAAGTTCAAAGCAACGATTAGGAACAAAACATGTGGAAAGACAGTGAGATTCGTCGTTGTCACAGGTCGTATCAACTCTCGTCCACTCATTGGCAAGAAAACATTGACCAAACTGGGAAGAGCGAGAAGAACGACTTGGGAATTCCAAATGCAATTCCAGAAATTAAAACAGCGAAAGAAAAGAAGAATCAGAATCCCAATATCAAGGAAATCACTAACCGCTACGAACAAGTATTCACATGCATCGGGCAAATTAGAGATTTCTACACCAAGTTTACCATGAAACCAGATGCAGTGCCAGTAGCCCAAAAGCCAAGACCGGTAGCCTATTACCTACAGAAACCACTGAAGAGCTGGTTAGATCAATGCATCCAAGAGGACATATTTGAAGAAGTACCAGAAGGAGAATCAGTGATGTGATGTTCTCCACTAGTTGTCCAACCAAAGCCAAGGTACAGCAACACAGACAAAGAACAGTTGGACCCACACATGATTAGAGATAATAATCTTCAGAATAAGCCAGATTGTTTTTCCCCAGAGTTTGCAAAGGAAAATCGTGAAAGCCGCGCATCATCTTGGCATGACGAAGACTAAAAGGATGCTACATGAGAAATATCGGTTTCTGACAATGAACACTATGGTAGAACAGGTCATTGGACAATGTTTTGAATGCCAAGTGACCACAAAGCAGCACAACAAGAACCAGTAAAACCGACAGTGATTCCGGAGAAATCATGGGATGTGTTATCTCAGTGGATTTTGGAGGACCATACCCAGATGGACATTATAATCTGGTTGCAACTGACAAGAGAACAAGATATCGTGAAGTTGCACGAGTAAGTTCAACCTCTTTTCCACAGACGAAAGAAAAGCTCAAGACCATGTTTGCAACTCACGAGACACCACAACAACTAGAGAGTGACAACGATCCACCATTCCAGTCCAAAGATTTTGCTGAATTCGCAGAGGAAGAGGGATTCCATCACCATCTTGTTACGCCAGGACATGCACAAGCAAATGGGGAGGCAGAAAGTTTTATGAAGCTCCTGAATAAAATGGAGAAGATTGCCAACCTGCAAGGTCAGGAGAGCACTATAGCAATTCAAGAAATGCTTACCAGATTCCAATCAACCCCACACGCAGCAACTGGGGTATTTCCATACGAAGTGATGATAAACAGAGCATCCGAAATCGGACCTCAGAAATCCAAAAGACGCAAAGATCGATCTAGAAGACAAAGAGTATAAGGACAAAATGCCACGCAAGCCAGCTAACAGAAACGTTAAAGAACACAATTTTGCTATTGGAGACCATGTTCTTCTGAGACATAATTTCTCAGCAAACAGAATAAAAACAAAGGAGTTTAAAAAACAAAGTATCTTTTTATATTGCATGCATACACTTAACTGGCTTCCTGAATTTATAATATTTATATACAGTGCTTCCATTTTGGAGGAAATTTCCTCTTTAGAGGAAATTTTAACTAGTTGGAGGAAATTATAAGGAAATTCGGATTTGGAGGAAATTTTGGATGTTCGAAGGAAATTTGAAGGAAATTCACAAATTCGAAATTTCGAAAAATAAAAACAAAGTTTTTCTTTACTTTTCTCGGTTTTTCCAAATACTTATTTGTTTTTAATTGATATCCCGTTACAGCAGCTGCAAAACATACTTTTCTGCAGGTTTCTGTTGAATTTACTGCAAGATGAGAGTTAATCATAAACTTATTTAAAGATGTATAGTGACGATTTAGAAACATTTTCGGGATCTGCAAGTGAGACCAGTGAGAGTGACAGCACTGATAGAAGTCATGTTGAACAACAGTCCACGTCGGCAACATCTGCAAAACCGAGAAAACGTAAGTGTCCACCACGGAAACAGGTGTTTAAGGACAATTGGCTGCAAGTCACCGAGTTCAAGAACTGGCTTAGTAAGAAAACGGCACCAAGCGGGGAAATGAAACCCTTCTGTAAACTTTGCACGAATTGGCTCACTTGTTCTATGACCGCTATTAAACGACATGCTGCGAGCCAAAAACATCAAGCAAGGATAAAGATGTCCGCGACAACTGGCTCCATCGCCCAACTAATGCGTCAAACAACAAACTCTGATGCGACTTGAAAAACTTGGAAAGCAGAAGGCCACGAACATCGTTCGCCAAGTGCTCGGTTTTGATTACCTCAAGGAAATGGTGGCATTGTTGCGATCACGAAAGTTTAGTGTAATCATCGATGAAGCAACGGACAAAAGTGTCAAAAAGCAAGTGGCCATCATTGCTACGTTTTTTGACATTGAGAAGTTCGAGGTTCAAGTACTGGTTGGTAGATATGGTCGAAACTGAAGATGGTAGTGCAACTGGGATCTATGCAAAGATGAAAGAAACCTTTCTACAGCACAACATTCCTATGAGGAACATCATAGGTTATTCATCCGATACCACAAATGTGATGTTTGGACAGTATAACTCCGTTTTGCAGTTACTCAAATCAGAGTTTAGCTACGTCCAACTCGTGAAGTGTTCATGTCACCTTATCCATCT